CTCCTACCTCCGTGTCGCCAAAAGACATCGACGGACACCAAGAAAGGTTTCTCTCTCTCTCTCTCTCTCTCTCTCTCTCTCTCTCTCTCTCTATCTATCTATATATCTATCTATCTATATATCGTCAAATAGATATATATATATGTGTGTGTGTGTGTGTGCCCACCTTGCCATCTTCATACTTCCGACGCCATATCCATTTCCTCAATTGAGATTGGAAAGGACTGAATGAAGTTTCCCGCGTTTTCTACCCTCGAAACGAACACGTGCAACAGTTTTCCCACCCACTGCATCAATGCCACAAGTTTTCACCACTCTTATCACACAAGCAGACACAGAGATACACACACAAGCACACAAACAACCCCCCAAATCCCCTCTCCTGCCCACCCAACCTCCACGCAATCGTCACCGCTCACAGCCCAAGATGAAAACTCATTTCCCTGATCTGTAGCGTCTTGCATCACACGTCTCCAGTTTGTGACAAAACGAAATCGGACAGGGAACCGATGCGCTGGCAAAAAGGAACCGATTCGCTGTAGTCCCTGACAAAACAAATACCCGAAGAGGAATCGATTCATCTGCCCGAAACGAATTGCCTGTCCACTGGCGGCAGTTTCCTTTTCAGGTATAGTATTCCTGCTGACAACCAGCCAAATGAACCGGCGGCGTACATGTCTATTTACGTGTTGAGGATCACCCGCTAGGGTATACCCCACACGCGGCGTTACGTGAGCGCATCTGACAGCAACTACGACCCCATCGAGAAGACTAGAAAAATCCCAGAGGTGTGATCATGACCGTCAGTTGGTTGCCATAACACGTGTTCTTTTTTTTTTTCCTTTTTTTCCCACCTAAACGTGTTCTAAGGGCCTGGCCCCACTATCCCAAATGGATTGGTGATGGAATACTGTATCACTTGAATACCCAAGAGGATGTGCCCTCTTTGTTTTCCTAATTTAGACCATTTCTCGAGAACGGGGCTAAGGGCCTCGTTCCACACCACTCAAAACTCGAGGGTTTCTTGCCCAACACCTTTCCACGGTGCCCTTGAGTTTCGCTAATCACGGCTGCCCTGCCCTGATTAGGTTTTCGGGTTTAGCAAACGGGCGGGAAAAGCTCAAGGGCGGCTCAAGTGCGTCCCAAGCAAACCTACCCATTTTTCAAGTCACCTCTTTGGCCACACTTGAGCTGCAGGTACGTGTAAAACCCCCGCTAGGTTGTTTTTTCCGTTTATTCTCCGTGTTCTACCGCAATTGTCCCGGTTGATCCTCCGGCGAGCTGTTGCAGCACCATTCCCGCTCATTTCAAGGGTGGGCTCAAGGGTTGAGTGGAACCAAACGCGATTCATGTATTTTTTTTTATCTCGATTGCAGCTCGAGTGCGCACTCGAGTTTCAACTGAAGTGGTGTGGAACGAGGCCCTAATTCTTTGAAGCCCAACCAATTCAATTACCTGTTGAATCTGTACAAGACAGTCATGCTTCGAACGGACCCCGCGATTTATTTCGTGGTTCAAATAATTTTCTGAATTTTTCTAAATATTTTTCATATAAAGGTAACGACAAAATCTACGGACCCTCAAATTTTTCGGGTTG